CCCACCCACCCACCCACCCACCCGGGGGCTGTGGGATGTGCCGCATTCACTTGGCTTGGAATGTCCCAGCGTTAAAACACGTCTCCTTTGTCTCGACTTTTGGATGCCCCATGCCCCCTTCTGTGGAAGTCCTTGAGACTGAGATTGTTGTATGTTACATCATGCGCGATTATCAAGATTGAAGCTGTCTTGATTTCGATATCGTGAATATCTTTCAATGAATAATTGCGAAAAAGCTTTGAATAAAGCTTGGGAGACTTTCAAAAATATTTGTTGATCGAGCCTAACCTTTCCCAATGAAAATAAGAACTTTCCTGCGCATAGATGTTTCCTTGGGCAAGCGGCCTTTGGTTTTTGGGGCCTGTTCGTTCCAGGCGGGTGGGGGTTGGGGTATTGTTTGTGCCGATTTATCTGAAGAGTTCGCCTCTGTTTGAGGTTCGGACAATCATGTCCCCAAGTTTGCCAGTTCGATTACGATTCAAGAAACAGTGAGCGAAAGAATGGAACTTACAAGTGCTACGTTTTGGGTTGCCGTAGTTACACACTACTTGAAAGATTGCATGGCACCTGCACGGGATTCGCACGATCCTTGCGGCGAGAGTTCGCCATTCTGCGGCTTGACTATTGGTTTGATTGAGATCGTGCAGCCCCAACTAGGGACATAACTCAGGTGTTGTCTTGGGGGCGCAATGGGGTGATGAGGGCAAAGGCAAGCTTGTGGACATCTTGGCGCAGGTTCTCAATAAACAGAAATTTCAACTTCGGCATCATGCTTACCTGACCTGCCAGGATGTTCAGTTGTGTGCACGTTTCAATGGTGGTGCAAACGCTGGTCACACCTTGATAGTTGACACTTGGAAAGCAGACGTGAATGTGAACCGTGCGTTGCATGCACCTGCGGCATAGGCAATGGACCTTTTCCGCACAGCAGACATGATGCTGCTGTTCTGGGGTAAGGATGGCAAGAAGTATGCTTTCCATCTACTGCCGTGTGGCATGATTAACAAGGACATGCAAGTTGCTCATCTTAGCGTGTTAGACGAACTAGCACTGAGTTGTGCTGCTCATGCAGGCATGCAAGAACCTGATTGGTAACGGTGTAGTTGTGTCCGGGCCTCGGCGAATGGTGTGCTGTTGCGTAACATGCGCAAGTTAACTAGCACCGGATGTATTGAATCTATTGGGCCACTTTCCACAACACATGTTGACAAGAAGCAGTCAATTACCTCCCTGCAGGGTATACAGACGTACAGGAATGTCAAAATGTGCATGCTCTGCAGCGACTTCGTGACCCTGCTCGCCAGTGTGAAGTGGTCCCGGGGTCCCTGTATTTCTGCCATCTTATCATGTTGAGCTGCACCGCCATATTGGGACTTTATGGGGCAGGACTGCTTCGGCCCGAACCCACTACCGACATCGACGCCAAAAACCACAAACATTTTAGCGCTTCAAGACCAATATACTCTCAAGGCCGAACCCCAGAACGTCACACCGGTCCCACACATGCACAACAACCGGGTCCGGACTCAAATCTCCTTTTGTGGTGTTGGAAGGACTGCTATCATGAGCCTGCTTTGGTAGAACGGCTATGTTTTCCGGAATAAGACCGCAGCTTCCGTCGCGCTCCAAGCCGTAGCGTTCAATGCGTCGGCGCATGTGAGGAGTCGGATATCGAAGCCTGTTGTTCCAAAGTCGTCCAAAGCCCGTTTTGCCGATGCCGACCCAACATGACGAGCCGGCAGTGGCGACGCAGCTATTCATGCTGGCCGCTCTGAGGGAACACGAGATGGCTGGGAGGAGTAGGGGGGGCCCACCACGGAGGCGTGTCAGAGGTCTGACAAACAGGTCAGCAGCTTCAGCGATCAAGGGGCCACCAAGCTCGAGGGCGACACCTTTCGCCTGCATGGCAGGCCAGGCCTCATGCTGCTCGTGTGCTCGTACGGCCTACGGCCGATGACTTCGCCATCTACGGCCTGCTGCTCGTCGTCCCTGTACTAAACCCGTATAGTACCTTTGTAGTATCCTTGAAAGGAACATGTTGAAGGACCCCTACTCTAATTGCCTAAGGTTTGCACGCACCAGAGAACCTTCGCCACAACACCGCTCGGGTGACGCAAGTGCTTGCCCAAGATGCGCAGTATGCGGCATTCCGGCCCTCCGTCACGAACCCATACGCGTGCCTTCTCGGCGCTGGTGGTTGCAAGCCACTAAAGCCAGGCGGTTCCCCACTTACGGAGTTCCGGGCGCGTGCGTTACCAAAGTCGCATCATGGTAGGTGAGGTCAGGTCACCTGGACGCCCGGGGCGGCCTTCGAAGGGCACCGCGATGCCAATCCGTGTACCGTTCATTTCTGCCAGCATGGACACTCGGCATTAACCCCGCTGCAGCCAGGTGACCAAGGATTTTGCCGCAATTTTAGCAGTCAAAATCATCCGCATGGAAGACGGTGGCCGTTCCGACAAGCACACGTTGACACTGTTTTGATGGCGCAATACAGTCCAAGAGTTGCAACTGTCGCCGTTGCAAAGTTGACGTTAAATTTTTTTGGCACAGTTCGCCTGTCGCAATACATGTTCGTTCGGAACACAACTCACGAATGAAGGTGCGATGCGTAAAATTCTACGGAGACACCAAGTTTCGAAAGCATCCAGTTTGCAAATGGCCCTTCCAAACCACGATGCGTGTGCTGGCAGTGTATTAGCTTGGGATTGATGCAAGCTGAAAAGGTGGCTGAGTTCGTCGGACTGCTCACCAGAAGTCGTGCTCGCGCTGCTCCTGTTGCCACGCGGTCAGTGATCGCTTCTGCGTTTGCCATGCGTTGGTGCGTGCGGCCTGGCTTCGCCGTTGCACGGGCCTTTGCAGCCAGCCTTCACTGCCGATGTCGGAAAAGCTCCTGTCCTGAGCGATGTCCTCACGGACTCTGCTGAGCCGCCCCCATTGCAGGTCGCCCCCTTCAGCGCACATCCCTGTCTCTCAGCCTCGGCATTCAGTGCCAAAATCGCCTTGGATATAAGCAGTGGGATCGCGTCGTGGATTGTCGCAGATTGTGTGTTTGTGTCCGTGGACGGTCCTCGATTCCCTCCTCTTGGGCGCATCAAGTTCGGTGCGGTCTCCGTAATGCCCGTATACCTTTGCCCGTTGCCGCCGGAGTCGTTCCTGGCTGTGATTATCGGTCCCTTGCTCGTTGGAAGCACCGTTTGGCCCGGCCGGCTTTGGACCAGCTTGGTTTCCAACTTCGTCAGGTTGAGGTAGCGCAGCTTAACCCTTTGACACTTTTCAATCTGTATCAATCTGTGTCATCCTTGCCTCAACTTTCGTTCAGATATTCATTCTTCCAAATTGCCAACGCATGTGGTAAGGGAGTGGACACTTGCTCGAAGTAGCAATCATCCCTTCATTGATGGGCGCGCTGCTCGCCACAGTGGTTTACGTCACTCCCGCCTGTGCGGGTCCGATGAGTGCAGCCTACTTCACGCATTACGGGACAGCCCTCTGTTCCTTCACTGGAGGAACGTGTGGTTGAACCGTTTGCAAACCTTAGGCTTCATTGACATCGAGACGATATCTGATGATTTGCTTTTGAATTTGCTGTTCGCCCCGAATGGTATGCAGAACACTCGCGCCTCCATCTGTGCGCATATGTCTTTCGTGGCCGGCATTTGCCAAGCTCAAAGATCGTTGCTCGAGGGCTTGGAGCCCCGTAGTAGCACGTGACGACACATCTGAGCTGTTTTGTACATGTATTCTGGCCTTGCCTCTGAGCTCCGAGTTTCACACTCTTAGTTCTTAGTTACTGACCGCTGGACAGTTGTTTCAGGACTCGTGCTGCTTCATGGGCTTGGGGAAGTCATTTTGAGCAACCGATGTGCGTAAGAAAGACCCGTCACTTGTTCGTTGCGATGCAATTTCAGCAGGGGCAGGCAAATTTTTCGTGCTGGCAGAATCCTGGGAGGAAACAAGGCCCCAGGTGTTAGCCGCAGAATTTTGGAAACCAGTTTGTTCAGAACACGCTGTCGCTTTCCAAAATGTTGTGGAACCTTGCACTTGCGCAATCTTGCTTACGGAAAGTCAAAGTCAAACCTGGATGCCCGAAGAAGGCTGCCCCTTAAGGGCTCAGGGAATCAAGTACGCGGCTAGTTGCTGTACATACCAACGGTCAGGTATGCTTTGTGCTAGGGATAATGTATACTCTACAAATGTGAGCCTTTCACAACCGGCAGAAAGCATCAAAGCAGCCTGGGCGGACGCGCCAGTGCTGCAAGCCCGCGTGCCCGACTTCGCACGCAGCTGCCTCGAGGCTTTAGAGGGCGGTGCAGGCCTCGCTGCCCTTAGCCTTCACGAAGCAGTGGAGGCCAGGGAGCCTCTGCGAGAGGCAGGTTGGCGAACCTGCCCAACGTGGCGTGACCTGTTGGAGGGGGCACGCCCGCCCCCGCCAGACGACGCAGGACCAGGGGACGGGCCACATGGCTGGCAGATGCACGCGACGCGAACTCTCAACACCCACTTCCGCGAGCACGTGCTTTTGCCCGACATGCCACCCAGTTCCCAAGCGCTCTTGCCATCCCGACCGCAGGCAGGCGCGTGGCTTGCAGCGTGCGGGGCGGGCCGCAGAAGTTGGTCGTGCTTGGTTCCGAGGTGGGCGGCCGCTGGAACGCTCAGGCCTGCCGCTTCGTGCGAGACCTGGTGCGTCTGAAGGCCTACAGCGCCCCGCCGGCGCTCCGCGCAGCGGCGGCTGTGACCTGGGCGAAACGTTGGTGGAGCATGCTCTCAGTCGCGGTGCAGCAGGCCGTGGCCAGTACTGCTCTGGGAGGTGCCTGGCTGCAGCCGCCGCAACCAGAGGCCGGCTCCGGCCCGCCGCTCGACAGCATCCTCCACCTCGTCGCTCCAGCGGGCCACAGCCGCTTGCCCTTGCGGCCCTAGGATTGGCGAGGGACTGCGGCGGCCGAAGAGTAGTCGGCTATAGGACGGTAAAAAGACACCTCTCGGCAGGCGGAAAAAGGTGTGTGAAGAAAAGAGGAAATCGTTTCGCCACGAAGATCGAGCAGCTTCTTGGGTTCAATGGGCCCGCACCTGCCATCTGCCAGAGAGGAATGCCAAAACGACCGTGGGTCACGGTCAGAACGGTGAAACAAGCTGTTTGGTTGTGGGTTTGGTTGGTTCTGGTAGTCTGCTGCACTGGGACCGCGCCCGGATGCTTGCAAAAAGGTGCGTGGAGAAAAAAAACAAGCTGCACGAAATTGCAATGTTTGGTGTCACACATCGTGCAACGATGTACGAAACGCATCAAAATGCGTCACATCTCACACGCCCTGCGGCTTGGCAAACGGTCCCACTGTAGCCACAAACTGCACATTGTGCACAATCTGTCTTGCTGTGTTGACTCCGGCACGAGTGTTGAAAATGTCTGCAAACACAGGACTGGGTTCATGCCAACGTGAGATCGCCATTTTCGTCTGGATACGACGTGCGCCAAAAAGCAACCAGTTTTTCATCCCACATCATTTTCGCATGGTTAGGGAGATCCGAGTGCAAAACACGTTTGACCCATCGATGGCTTGGTACTAATGCAATGTACGAAGCAAGTCGCCAGTAATGACGCAAGCATTGTGTTGACCATGTTTCGATGCCAAAGCGTTCACAACAGTGTCGGACGCGTTCATTCCATGGTCTATGAATGTAAAGTTTGGTGCCATGGCAAAGTCCAATCAACTCCACCGGGTGGCCCGACCAAACGTCGCAGCAAGCGGCTTACGGAGTGCTGGACATGTGCTGACGCTCTCAGCCACTCAACCCCTCATCCATCGGCCGCCCTGTGATCTCCTCGGCGGTACGCACCCGATCCGCGTGCATGTGACGCATTCGACCATGTGGGTGATTGGTTCTGGGATTTGCATCGAGCTTTGGGTTTTTCTTACCAATTGCCATGGCATTGCATGCCTCACTCCATCCAACTGGCCTAGCGAAAATGGACGTCCCACGCACGGCATGCTTCGTCCACAGTACCAGCTGCCGGATGACACCAACCGACGGATAGCAAACCCGTGGATTGTTAGTTCAATTGCTCCGAGCCCAGAACCCCTGTGCCTATGTCCGCGAGTCCAGCTGCG